TTGCTCACAGGATGGATTCACTCATGTGAAGGTCGATATTCTTTGATATGGGTTGGGAATTGAGGGGTCGCAAAAATTGGCAGCAAAGTGAAGTTTTGGAGCATCGGCTACTTGCCTATTCGAGGGTCGTGTCGAGGAAAACTGTTACCACAACGTAGTCAGGCACAGTTTACCCTAGGTGCGACTGCGGCAACTAGCCTTCCGTAGACAGAATACAGAAAGAAGAGATGGTACTTAGCAGAGAACATGAGCACAGAGTTGTAGCNCCGAACCCCGAAATTCCAGTACTCGGGCGAATACCCCGGAGAACCTCGGAACCTACCTGCTGTGTTTGCTGCTTGTTTTTTGTTTTCTTGTTGAGCTGAGACACAAGCGCGCCTTCGCCCCTTGTGCTCACTCTCATCAAGCACCCATCAAAGCCTGACCAGGGAGTCAGTTGGTAAGAAAATCTATTTTCTACATTTCTCTTTCCGAAGCTCGCTCGGGCCTACCGCTCTCACAGCANAGTACTCGGGCGAATACCCCGGAGAACCTCGGAACCTACCTGCTGTGTTTGCTGCTTGTTTTTTGTTTTCTTGTTGAGCTGAGACACAAGCGCGCCTTCGCCCCTTGTGCTCACTCTCATCAAGCACCCATCAAAGCCTGACCAGGGAGTCAGTTGGTAAGAAAATCTATTTTCTACATTTCTCTTTCCGAAGCTCGCTCGGGCCTACCGCTCTCACAGCAGTGTCACCTCTGTGATAGACTACAAAGTCTGTGAGCTTCAGCAGCACCGCCACCTCCGCTGCTGCAGAACGCCACATTTTGTGATTCGTTTGTATGTCGCACATTTGAGATATACACGTTGTGCTGCTGGTTCGCTTGTTTCACATGTAAAGGGCAGGTGCCCGGGGAGTCGCGGCTGTTTCTCCTTTCCCCCGCGGAACGAAGCTATTGTTTGACTTGCTTTGAAAATAGGCCTCACAGGTCAACAGTAGGAATACCAGCTGCCAGTTCTTAACTTTTGCCACACATTTGATCAATTACGGGGGCGCTGGTTTCTTGTCTTATGGTGCAGTGCCTTATGTGAGTTCGTCGTTCAAACGTCTCGCTGTTGTTTTCAGGTGGAGGGAAGAATGGACGTTCAAGGAAGGGTCACGGAAGGGAGCGCTGGACAAGCCTCGCGCCCACGAGAAGGTTTAAGGCTGGTGGACGGACATGCGTGCCGAGTTCAGGGTGAGTTTCGGACAACGGTCTACGGCGGGTGGATCTGGTATTTTCCGATTCCCTGTAGAGCTACTTGCGCAAGAAGCTTACCTCCGTGTTTCGACAGGCATTTTGATGGTAGCCGCCTTCGTTGGGGACGGACTGGATCTTTCCTGCGGTTGAAGTTGGGTTCAAGAAACCCGCCCGGTCCAGACGACCGTCTACCCTCCTGTGTCCCATCCCCTGGTGTGTTTGTCTTTTTCTCGGGTGCGGGGGGTGGGTTCAGCATTCCTGCATGCCGGGTGCTGTTGTTACAGAACGAAAGCCCACCCCCCGTCTTGTTTTTTAAATTAGTTTGTCTGCAGTAGTGTTAGTTGGTCGACAAACCGCCCCCGTCCAGACGACCGTCTGCCCTTCTCTGCCCCATGCCCTGATCTGTTTTTTTCGGGCGCGGGGGGCGGGTTCAACATACATAGTATGTGTCAGGTGCTGTTACAGAACGAAACCCTACTCCCCCTCTTATATTTTCTCTTATTTTTTTGTCTGCAGTGCTAGTTGGTCGACAAACCGGCTCCGTCCAGACGACCGTTTGCTCTCCTCTGTTCCGTCCTCTGGTCGTTTACTTTCTTTTTTTGGGGGGTGGAACGGGTTCAACGGGCATATGTGCCGGGTGCTGTTTCAGTCCAGTAGCACACGACCCCTCCAGTTATTATTTTTTTTTTTCGGTCTGACGCACGCGGCGGTGCAGTCCTTGTTCGAAACATTCGCCCCGGCCAGACGACAATCCCCATAGTGTGCTCCTTCCTGGTTTGGTTTGACGTCGGGTGCGGGCACACGTGAGCACGCGTGTCGCGTGCTTGTTTCATCGTACCTCTCTGATAAAATCCCGTACGTTGTGTGCTGGGTGAACGTTGAAAATGTAGGCGTCGCTCATCACTGGTGGTGTCTAGAACGCGTTTGATGTCCGTTGGGGAAAGTTGGGACGGTCAGAAATATGTTTTCCGGAACCCCAACTCCATTACATCTTTTGTAACCCCTCTTTTCATGCCACCTCATGTATATGTGCCGTTCATGTTTTCCAGATCGCCAAGAAGAACAAAGAGAAGAGCGGGAACAACGCTGAACACTACTGGTCCTTCTGTAACCAGAAGCTGTACGTCCTGCTCATGATGGACTGGTACGAGCTGAGGGGAGGCGACAGCGCGAACGAGCACTGCGCAAGGTACTTGAGCGTGAAGCTCAACGAAGAGGATGGGGAAGCTTTCAACACTTTGTCCATGGAAGATCAACAGTCGTCCAGCGATTCGGATGAACCGCTCGCGCCGAAGCGGAAGCCGCGAGAGCGGAAGGATAGAGAGAAGGGGGGGGGGGGGGGNCACGCCGGGTTCTCACCGGACCAGGCTCTCACATCAGCAAGCGCGAAGCGCCGTGAGGTATTCGGCGAGTCGCATGAAGGGTGCGCTGCATCCTGCCAAGCGTATTCGGCATCTTGTGCTTACGGATGACAGCTGCGTATGACTTAAATGTTTTTTTCTGGCGCTTCACTTCCAGTGACAGTTGCAAGCACTGTGTAACTGCCTCGACGGTGCTTGACCGTTTTAACGCAACGTGGTGCAATCATTCCCCTTGCGCGGAGTGAGGGTTTTCCACGCCGCACAACATGATCTACTCGACCACCATTGTGGTTACCGCCAAAAAAAAACAGAGATAAAAAAAAACGGTACCCTGGTTGCCGAGTGCACGAAGTGAATTGGCTTGTTTTACAACCTCGTTGCCAAGCGACGAAAAACCAATCCCCATGGCAAACACCGAGGGGGGGCTTGTTTTACAACGTCGTTGCCAAGCGACGAAAACCCAACCCCGATGGCAAACACCGAGGGAGGGAGAAGGAGGAGGTAATACCGGAAGACGCCTTGGTCCAACTTACTTGTGGACGCATTCAAGACCACATCAAACAGCGTGGCAGCGGCGATGTACAAGATTGCCGACATAGACGCCGGTAATCCCGTGGATATGTTGGCTGCGGCCAGCGACAGCATTGATGACTTGGAAGAGAAGTTGGAAAATGAGAAAGAAGCAGAAGTGCCCAAAAAAAAAAATGAAACATGTTGTTGTACGTCGTATTGGTTTAATATTCATGTAGAGTATGAGACATGAAGTGAAAGTTTTCTGAGGTACATCTGCAATTGTCGGAAGGCAAAAATAAATAAATANCGGAAGGCAAAAAAAAAAAAAATGAAAGGATCACTCAAAACCTCGCAGTAGCGCGGGAGGCGTACGAAAAAATCTACAAAAAGGCCAGGACTGCTGCTGAGAAAGTGGCGGAGGAAGAGGAAGATGAAGAAGAGGAAGAGAGTGAGGTTTCGTAGCGAGTTCCCGTGAAGGCCCTTCGGACGAACCAAACCCGACTTCTTCCAACGACGCATGAAGAGGATGTCTTGTCGTTTTGATTCACACGGCATAGGTTGGGTACATGAATTTTTTTTGGCATGACTTGTTTTTTTTCCGTTGTGTGCAGCACGAAGGTAGGGCACTGCTTGTATGTTCTTCGAGCGTGGAGGACGCATTGCGTGATCCACCCCTCCAGCATGTCTTTCTTCTTTCGGTTCCCGCGGGGGAACATGAGAAGTTTGTTGTTCAGTGATGGACCAGAGTCTTCTCTATCCGGCGTTTTTGTGCAGGCGTACGCGTTTTTGGCTGCCGGAGAGCTGAGCCCATAGGCCAGAGACATTGGTTCGGAGGGTATTTCATTTTTGTCACTTAGCTTCGAAAATACTACCTATTGGGAACATTTTTTTTTTGTCGTGGTGAATATTGATCATATGAAGGCAAAGTACGCTCAACCCGTGAAGGATGAATGCGCTCAACAACGTGGCTCTCTCGGCCTCTGTGAGGTCTTTGTCGTTTCTCAATTTATCTTCCTTGTCCTAACATCCATACCCTGTGGGGCACACTCGACCAAACGGGAAGAAATATATATACATAAAGGCAGGGAACATGCCACCGCAGAAAAATAAGGCAGAGAAACCAGGCACCGCGCCACACAGCGACGTCGCATAAAAAGCATTTCGGGTAATCTCATATTTGCCTCATGAAAGAAAATGTAAATCAAACTTTCTGTCGAAATCATGAATAAAGAGTGCCCTTCAGACACTCGCTTCAATTTTTTCATGAGTTTACACCGCGGAAACTTCTACGCTTATCTCCCGTGTCCCGCGTTAGGTACCCAAGAATAATCTGTCGGGTTGTAGCGGAAAACCATCAGTCTCTCTCTCTCTGGTTGACAGATTCAACACCACACAAGAAGCCCATCCGACCCACCCCGAACATGATGTTTTTCTGTTATCGATACCCTCCACGGAACATTCTCCCAACGTCCAACCCGTACTTTGCCATATGACACGTTGTATCGACAAATGGAACATCTTACCAATGCCTCAGCCAACTACCTACTTTGAGCTACGGACAACCGATGCTCCCGAGAAAACCACCCCAATCCTGTGATCCAGCTCTCCGAAAAGCACCCCACCTTGTGCGCCTTGACCGATCCCCCCCCCCCCCCCCCCCCCCCCCCCCCCCCCCCCCCCCCC